TTTGCCCAGTTGACACGGATAGCACGCGAACCAAGCCATTCGCCATTCATAGTCGCGATGGCCTGCTCTGCATCGGTCTTATCCCTGAACGCAAGGAAACCATAACCGCGAGATTTTCCCGAGTTCATGTCCCACATCACGCGAGCGTCGGACATTGTGCAGAACGCGTTGAAAGCCTTGCCGAGGACCTCATCGTTGACTTCTGGGCTGAGGTCACCGACGAAAACGTGATAGTGACCGGTGGTGTCCTCCTTATTTTGCTGGCCTTGATAGGCCCAATTAACGCGAATCTCGGTGTCGAAGATCTTGCGTCCGTTAAGGGTTTGAAGGGCAGTTTCAGCTGCGCGCATGTCGATGTACTCGACGAAACCGTAGTTGAGACCACCATGCTGGTAGTTGCGGTCAGGGATGATTTTGACGTGTTGAACTGCACCGGCAACGGCAAAGATCTCTGTGAGCATGTACTCGGTTACTCTTGGACTAAGATTCCCAACGTAAAGATGGGCCCTCCGCTGCCATGCATGAGACCATATCTATGGGCTTGTAGATTGTTACTCACTGGTGCCTCCGCATGGCCACCCATACCACCCATTGGATTCATGATTTAATATGGATAGTGAATGAGAATGAGAGGCTACGAGTTTGAGTGAGCTGGGCTAGAGATTGATGAGGAAATGAAAAGACGCACAGGAGAATTGATTACTGAAATCAGAGAAGGATTGTCCGTCGAGAATAGACAGAAAAATGAAAAACACGAGAAGAGAGAGAGAAAGAGACAAAGAAAAAGAGAACAAGAGAGACTTTGAACGACGTTGGCCTCTTCGCACTTCGTCGTCGACTACTAAGATCTTTACTACAATCCCATTTTTCACCACATCACCCATGGGAATTCATCCCACGGTCATCGCCGATTTCAATTCAACACCAATAGGAACTTTGTAGATAAACTACTTTGTAGGTACGTTTAATAACACACCACTGCTCGGAATATATGTCACATTCCCATTGGCAGCCAAGCTCTGCACGATCGCCTTGCTTGCCTCTATTTTACGAAGTGCAATGAAAGCATCTCCAGCTTTGTCCATGGCCTTTGAAATTGTTGCTGCCGCTTCTGCCTCACCTTCTGCACGAATGACGGCGGCCTGACGCTCTTGCTCCGCCTGCATGCCGTCAGTAACCTGATCAGGTCAACTCCTTACCAAGAACCTACCTTTTCAACGATGAACTTGGCTCTCTCGGCATCTGTAACAGGTTAGATTGTCATAGTAATAAGCAGCTGAAACCTTACCTTGCTGTGCTATTTGCTTGGCTTCAACAGCCTGTAAATTTGATTAGTAAAAAACCGATATGTCGTACATAGTGTCATGCGAACCTGAGTAAATTCCTACAAAGGGTGTCAGTTAAATAAAATGAAGTACACGGACTACGGACTTTTCCGAATGTGAGATGGGTGATAGACACATCCTCAAGCTTGATGTTGAATTCGCCGGCACGTTGTAGCAAGTCTGCGCGTATTCTTGACGAGACCTGGGGAGGCTCTATGGATGTGACGTGACGATGACTGACGGGTGACTTACCACTTCACGCTGGGTGATCAATTCAGCAGCATCAAATTGTGCTACGATAGCCTTTAGGACTTCGTTCCCGATGGAAGGTAGAACGCGTTCGTCATAGTCCATGCCGAGGCTTTGGTAGATGCGGGGTAGATGCTCGACGTCTGGTCTGGACAAGACACGAAGTGTGATGGAGACCATTTGTAAGTCTTTTGAACCGGTTGTTGTTGAAATATTCTGAATAATTTTGAGCAGAAGGATGGTTGTAACGAAAATGACGTACACGGGGTTTAATCCGGCAGTCGTACAAGATTGCTCTCTGCAGCCATGGAACGAGGAAGTGGGTACCTTCACTGGTGGGCTGTATTGAATGGTCTATAAGGTGGCAGTCTTGTTTAAGATATTGAATACCTTGTCCTTTACACCAGAAAAGCGGTCAAACATGACTGCTCGGAAACCGCCTGGCACATCGTAGATACTAGCTTGGGCAACGGCAAAGGCCAAGCCAAGGGGAACTTTAGCAATAGTATGTTAAAAGACCTCTTTCTATTCAAATAATTTCGTACCGAGGAAACGACTTGCAGCTTGTGGAAAGGCCATGAAGGAGAGAAGGAAGGCGAGCCAAACACAACACAAACAACGCGTACAGTACTAGCAGCCGTCATTTTTGCCGAGCCACGCGTTCAATATCTTTGAATTGGTAAACGAAACAGTGATTTTAGTACTAGTCTACGTATACGTTCCTCAGTAGGCCACTACATAGCTAGTTGGATGGATTGTGGTTACCCACTCGCCGAGCTCTCGCCGAAGCTGCGAAGGTGTGACCTTCTTAATTTGGTAATTTCTCGAATTTAGTGGAAGTGACGATGAATGGGTGGACGCGTCTGTAAATTACGCGTCCATCTGCTCACCAAGCAGATTCGTCATCTCATTGCAATCCACAGTCCACAGTCCTGGCATATAAAATCAGTGCTCAAAATGATATCCTCCATAATCTCATCTCTTTCTCATTCAATTCACAATGTTGGTATTCGCTACTCCCTACCGCTCTGTCGACCCTTATGCTGCACGCCAACGTGCATGGGCTCGCCATCAGCAGCAGCTCAGGAATCAATCCATCCAAAATGCTCTTTATGCCCAACAGTATCCAAACCAGCAGAGCATTCACCAGCTGCGCAGTATAAATGGCCTGCTTAACCGTGTACTAGAGCGCGATGATTATCTCCATACCCCCGAGCCGTACTACGGCTACAGCACAAATGACCTTGCTGAGTTCGAGTACGAGCTTGCACTCTCCAGAGCTACCCGCAACGCTGCAATCCAGCGGCTCCATCGCGACCACAACCCAGCTATCCGAGGCTGGTGTGCTGCTTCCCAGGCTCAACGCAAGAAGCAAGAAAGGGAGCGAGAACTCCACGCCCGCCGCTGCGCTACAGAGGCCAACGGCTTCCTTGCACATGCTGAACCGTACCTCAGTGCATATTGGCCTTGTGGCCTGCCTGTGGATGCTATACGTTCACTTTCGTTCACTGATTCTGGTTTGTGTGACTTACCACAATCCCAGGAACTTCCTACTCAGGCCACAACTTCCACCTCAAAGGCCCCTGTACAGAACCAGCCATGCCTCCAGGAAAGGCTTGATAGTCGTATATCACAGTTACAGTCGATATTTGACAGTCTCTCTGGAGGCACTTCAACCGAAGCTCCTGTCCAATGTGTTCCAGTTACATCCACTACCCCTACGTCCACGCAGGTCAATGTCAACGAAGAGCCAACCACCTCCTCATACGAGGGAAAAGGAAAGGCCAAGGAGATTCCTGACTCCGACGAAAGCCTGAAGGACAGACTCGAGGACCGTCTCATGGACCAGTTCCAATCTGAATTAAGCAATACCTTCCGGTCAATCCTTACTAGTCTGTCTGAAGGCACGTCGACAGACACTCCATGCGTTCCAGTAACATTTGCTGCCCCTACCTCTACGCAAGTTAATGTCGACGAAGAGCGCACTACCTCTCCACGCAAGGGAAAGGGAAAAGCCAAAGAGACGCCTGACTCTGATACCGAAGAAGAGTCTTCTGCGTCTCCAGCCCAGGTCGCATCTTCCCTCTCCCAAATCACTTCGATCTTATCCCGCTTGGAGACGCTCCTTGTTGACTTCCAGTTCCCCGCTGAGCTCGATTTCTCTCCTTCGCGTTCGCCGTCCCCAGGTTACTCAGCTCTTGACACTGATGATACATTTGCGTTGACATACACCGCGACGAATGCACCTCTCCGCGCTCAGGAACATGCACTGTCGTTGCTCCTCGGAGACTTGGACAACATCCCCAGCTTTGGATCACACGTAGTGAGAGACGCAAGGCGCGCAGTTGTGGCACGCGTAGAGCAAGCGCTGGAAGAACTTGAGAAAGGTGTGGAAGAGCGAAGGGGTCAGTGCTCGCGGCAGGAAGGCAGACCCTGTCACTGTTACCGTGCCTGTCGAGCAGCCCTCGGAGCCGGAGAATCTGACCTCTGCGGATCTCGCGCCCATCAAGGTCCCCGTTATAGATGAAGTGCCTACCAACGTCTTTGTTCCTGCACTTCAAGTCGAAGCAATTGTCGACCTTGTAGTGCTTGACACTATCATAGAAGCACCTACTGGTTCCATCGGGATCGCAACTGCATCTGTGGCGGAGCCGAGCTCTACTTCTGCTTCTCTTCCCACAGCATGCTCTGAGGTTTCCGAGACGTTGACAGCTCAGCAGGTTTCGGTCCCGCAGGAAGAAGAGTCCGAGGAGCCGCTTGTCGATGCAGTCGGCACCGCCGCTGTCTCTGAGGACCTAGCAAGTGAGGACGCAGTCATCATCGAGGCCACTAACCTACCCACCAATGCGGACCTCATACAACCACCATCCCTATCCGCAACGCGTCTAACGCCACCTCCACTTGACACCTCCGATTCACATTCCCAAAACACACTCGGTGTCTCTCCTGCCGATTTTGAGACTTCAATCCATGCGGACGCTGATATTCCCGCGGAAGTGGTAGATACCACAGATGAGCCGGCATCGCTTGTACCGGCGGCGGCGGCGTCTTCGTTCTTGGGATCTGATCATGAGCAGACGCCTTCGGAGGTGAACGTGCTAGAGTCATATTCGAGTGTGGAATTGGCCGCACCTTCGTCTCCCGTCAGTGAGACAGAAGTGGATACGTTCTTGCTTCTTTGAGCAGTTAGTAGGTCGTGGACTATGTGTCGAATTTTGGCACGTCTTATATTTTGTTCATATTCATTCATAATTATTTGATTACTGTACTCCAGTACTCATGTATAATGAGTGTACTAACCCAATACATGTATGCTATATCAGAAAACTTTGAGTGATTGAGTGATAGGTGGTCACCGGTCACAAATTGTACTGTGCTCGAGTACGATCAACATTGTCTCGACTGTAATACCTCATGAAGCAAGGATTTGAGCACAGAAAATTAATTCATGAGATGATGTTAAAACAAGTAAACGAGCGTCTGACAATGCTTATGAGTATGCATGTGACACTAAAAAAATATCCTCCATCCCCCTCCTACTCCAATTCCAACTCACGCCCTCCCCTTCTTCTTCTTATTCACCACCTTGAACCCCCATTCTGGCTGAGCAGCCCGTGGCGCCGTCCTCACCACGTCTGCGATTGACACTTTCCCGTTCCCGTTCGGTCCTGGTCCAGCTGTCCCACTAGCCCGGCGGCGCTTAACGAACTCTGCCGCAAACCTCCGCCCATCAAGCGTAGTGCTATTCGCGTAAATCAGGTCGGAAATGATCTCTGATGTAGAAGGGTCTGGGTCAAGAGGAAAAGAGAGTAGCATCTGTGTCATATCTTCCACTGCTCACCCGAAATAATATCATATATCAGAAACAGTTAATGAAGCGATCTAGAAGAATAACTCACGGTTCACAGAATGATTGAGCCCTTTCAGTGCATCGCTCAGCCACTTGAGGAAATCGTTGGAAGACGAACCGGGCGTGTCGTCCATGCGTGATGGTGTGACAGTAGCAGCCTTTGTAAAAGTCTGTGATGTCGAGCGGACTGCTATACCACTGGGGCGAGGCGTAGGCGCTGCTTGTGTGGATACAGATGGAGCGGCAACTGGACGAGCAGGTGCCGGTGTGGGTCCAAGAGCAGGTACGGGGGCGTTTGTCTTGCCATTTGAACCAACTGTCGTCCATGCCCCACCACTAGCCTGTGCACTGGGAACCACCTATACGACAATCGAAAGGGAATCAATAAGCAATCCCGCATTACAGAGGTCTTTGCACACACCTTGAAAGTAGTCTCTGCATATCCGCGCCTTGCAGCTGTCGCTGCCATTGAATCCTTCAACCCCATCTTCTTCCGACGCTCTTCTTCCTCCTGGATCTCCTTCATCGTCTTCTTGGTAGGCGCTGTACTCGTTGACGTCCACACTGGAGCACTCGCCACAGGTGTTACCGCAACTTCTCCACCTCTTGGTGTCACAGTAGCTCGTGCACCCGTTTGAGAGGTTGGAAGTCCCCACGATGCGGTAAATGGTTGAGCATCCTCCACGACAGCAGGTGGGGTCGGCACATTGGCGCGTGCAAGCCTCTCGCGTTCTGCAACCTTACGTGCCTCTGCCTTCTTTGCCTCTGCCTCCTGGATCTCGCGCAGACCGAGCGATGCCTTGCCCTTTTTCGCATCTTCCTCAGTCGCCCACGCAGGCTTTGGAACAGGAGATGGACTCTTTAAGGCAGGTATGGGTGCGGGAGGTGTAGATTTCGGTGCTGAAGCTGCGGGCACTTGGGCCTCACGAACGGTGGATTTGGCTTTGGTCTTGGGCGCTGTAAATGCCGGGAGCTCAATATGGGGAGCGGGAGCCGGGGCCACAGGCGCTGGTTGAGGTATGTCTGACACGGGTACGGGTGCAGTAGCAGCTTCCTCCTCCGTTTCCCCAATAGGCGACACAGCAACGTTGGACTCCTCATCCACATCCTCAAACATCTTATTGTGTTGCCCGAGGTTGCTCACAGTGAGACTATTTGGGCCAGGAACCTCGCGCCATCCATCATCGACGACGCCTAGGGAGGCCGTCAGCCATGGTGAAGGGTCTTTTGACTTGGGAGCATTACGGGCGGGTTGTGGAGGGTGACTCCAGGCAGCTGGAGGTGCCTTGGCAACAGGGGATGGGGTGGGGATCTCAACCACCGGGCGGCGTACAGTAACAGGCTCGGGTGCGCCCCAAGGTGATGATACATTCTCAGGTTGTACGGCAGACACTGGTGTCCGCACGGCAGGGTGATTCAGCGACCTTCGCGAGAACTTCACCGAATGGCGATGTAGATGAGCGCTGCTGCGGCACGTCAGGGGACTGGGGGAAGTGCTGCACATAAGGTGAGCCGTTCATCCCTAGGTTGTTGAAGCCTAGCCCGTTTGCCTCAACGGGCTGCCGTGCGATGGGTGAATCATGCGAGGCACCTAGACTGCCCATGGCACTGTACGTGCCATCGCCATACGAGGGCTCCTGTGTGAAAGAGTGGCTCTGCGCAATTGGCACAGGTACCGGCATGACACCCGAGCTGATGCCATTGTTGAAACCAGTCGCAATGGAATGTTCACTACTGCCAAAATGTTGTGCATTCTGGGTCATGGACGGTGGCCATTGGGAGTTACTGTTGTTCTTATAGGTACTGAATGTGTCCAATGATGAAGTTCTGCCGGGTGCCAGGGTGTTGAACGACGAGCGGGGGTCCCCGACTGGGCCGAACGGGCCTGTATTTCCAGTGAAACTGTGGGAGCCGAGTCCTGAATCACCAGTATAAAGGTTTCCGACTCTCCCCGCCAATGCAGAAGTATCGGGAGAACCGTTGCCGAATCTCCCGCCACCAAAGGACGAGGAGGGGGAATCTGAAGGAGAGGCACTATTAAGGTATGGGTCCAATGTCGCAGTACGGAGAGTCCGGGTTGGCACAGGTTGGTATCCACTGAATGTATTGTGTTCATGAACGGGGGAGTAATTCTGGGCAGGGGTAAAATTCTGGGAGGAATCGGTACGGATATTGAGACCAGGAGGTGCGGCGGACGTTGGAAATTGTGACAGAAATATTTTGCCGCCAGCGGACTGATGGTCGAGAATCCCGACCGCCGTCCATTCTCGATCCAAATGAGTACGCTTCATCAGAAGGTCAGGAGTAAAATAGCCCTCATCAAACCATTTCTGCATCAAATCAGCTTTGAAAGGACCTGGGAAGGAACGTCACCTCTGGTGCTCAAGACTGCAATCTGAAGAACTCACCTTGCACTTGACCTTGAGGATCCAGGTAAGACCACTCAATGCTAGCTGGATCCAGACCCGGTGGTGGACCTGTCGTCAGACTGTCGGCCTACCGGGTTGGGATGAAAGTTTGTGTTGGTTCGCTCAGTTTCACTAAGACTCATTCCAGTCATACGATGTGCCACAGAATCTGCACTTAGCGCAGATCGCGGGCTCGGACTGTTGCTTGTGGTGTCTGGAGGCAGGGCATCAGGGATTGCAGATGATTGAGAAGCGGCAGAAGGGCTAGGCTGAAGCGCAGTGTTTTGTACTGGGTGTTGTTCTTCCTCATCTTCTTTGATGTTATGTCCTTTTGAATCCTCTTCTCTACTCTCCGTACGAGTCCCCGTGGATGCTCCCCCAACTTTCAGTACACTCTCCGATGTTCGTCGTCTAGCCATCCAAGAATCTCCACCGTTAAGAACACCGTCGAATCCTGAGGTAAAGCCGCCTATTCGGGTACGAGGGGAAGGCAGTGCTCCGTCGCGTGGAGAATTGCCTTGTGTATTAGACACAGACAGTTTACGAGGTAGTGCAAGTGGTGGTTGATCTTAGCGAAACCTGGATCAGTGTCACAACACGGGTAAGGGACATTCCAGTATTCACCTGTGCTGTCCCTCCTCCTTCCCATAAGACCAAACCCTCTCATAGGACTCCCTCCTCCGGTATTGGAATGGTTCAACCTAGGTCTATCAGATGGAGATGACAACGTGCTTATAAGGTCGGTAGACTGGCGTCGCCGAAGTTCGGAATTAAGTGGCCCAGCAAAAAGCTACATGCCTCGTGTGAGCCAATAAGGCCAAAGACATAAACTATAAGTCCAATTTGCCTGACCTTCTTTTCCACATCGCTCATTTCGCGCAATCCTGTGGGTTCACTGCTGACTTCATGTACAATACCCTCCCATCTTTCCACCTCTAGTCCCAGACCGCCTCTCCCGCCACCTTCTTTGTAGATTCTGAGCATGGCTTCCTTTGAATATCTGAAAGGACGGCATTCATCACGTTTCTCAGGCTCTGGTGCGGCGGCAGGTGTAACGAGTGCAGAATAAGTTGACGCGTTCGTTTGCTGTTGCTGTGTATTAGAAATTGCCGGAGGAGGTGAAGAAGGAGGTGCTTGGGGGCGAGCGGCAGGATTTTGTGGCTTCGCCCGCATCCACTCGGGGCCAAAATGCATGGTTGTAGTTGCCATTTTGCAGTTTTGTGGTGGTTAGTGCAGAGTGATCGATTATAATGGCTATTGCTTAGTGCAAGAAGTGACTAGCGAAAAATCTCAGCGGTATGGTTTGCACGTTTCCGTGGAAAATAGGATATCATAGGACGCGATCTGAATTTAGGGCAGGCGGGAGCCACCTCAAACAATGAGTACTGGTTACATCAATGGTACTTTGATCAACGTGCCAAACGAACAAGAGCTATCTACCACCCAGTAATATTAGAATAAGTAACGAACGATAGCCCGAACCCCAGCCTAATCTTGCACCCGTGCTTAGTCTGGATTGATTCGCCATCTGTACACGGGAAGGGCTAGACAGATGCTTGAGTTAATTCCGAAGTGACATAGATAGCTTTACCTACCTTGAAGTTTGCGTGCAGTGGGAATGATATAAAAAACTAGGAACAGCATGCCAAACGACATGCATATCGCTGAAACGTAGTAATAACCATCACGTTCTGTGATGCATTGTCCATCGATCTCTGAGCAGACCTCCTTACCGCGGTCAGAGACGCATTCGGCAGCTGGTTTCGAGTAAGCAATAAGGGGCGCCCAGAGCAGAAAGCATTCATGCCTACCTTTAACAAGCAGCTCACTGTGCGCCTCCTTCACTTCGCAGTACGCCTCACTAAAGTAATCGACGCCTTTATTAGAGCATTAGTAGCGCTCGACGACTATGGCTGCCATACACCCTTACCTTTCAATACAAAGTACTTCGGCCACGTTCCTCCTAGATTAGTAAACGTATTAAGGAGCTAAATAGGTATGAAGCTATCAGTCGACAAGTAAGGAACCGTGGAAATCTCATACCGTCATGTAGGTCCCTCCAATGAGAGGATCAGATATTTTGGTGTGGAATGCTGAGATACCAACGAACTGAATCGTCCTACGAAAGAAATCAGCTGTGCTCCGGATTTCATTGATTGGGCATACGATGCAAGTCCTTGTAACACTGTGTGGATGATAAGGAAGACGAAAAATCCATATGAAAGAGGGGGCGTTGGGAACCAGTAGACGATGAGCGTCGACAAAAAGGCAAATACCAATCGAGGCCAAAACGCCCATAACCATGGACGAAGTGGCTTGTCGCCACTAGACCACTTCGCCGCAAAATAGCCTCCCAAGATTTGAAAAGGAAAATCTATGAGGACAACAATAGCGAGGTCTTCGCGACCCAAACCCTTCTCAATCATTTTCAAACTAGTGACTGCCTCATTAGCTTGAAACCCGATTTTTGCGAAGAAGTGTATGACAATGAGCGCCTGGACGTCTGAAGGAAAACATCAGTTACCAAACAATCCGAAAATGAACCTATTTACGCTTGAGTTTGCAAATGCTCCATATGGTTTTGTAAACGGATGTAACAGTCATTTCTGATCCGTCCAATGATTCACTGCCCTAAAGAATGTATCATTTTGTCATCAATTTTGTTGCAAAAAGTTTCGCTGATAGTCACCTCTGTTTCGAAGAAGGTTAGCCAAAAAGTTACTCCAAAACACAAGAGGCTGCAAAAACGGAGATATGTGCTTAACTCGAGGCGTGGAATGCCCCATTTCTCACTGCAAGTTGTCACTAAATAATGCGTAGTATTGAACATGAACTGCTTACGCGAATGCCTCGCTGTTTAGCGCTAGGAAGACGGTGAAAGAGGCGAAGAAGCCTGTGTTCAACCCGATTGTCTGGCATATAGACGCGTAGGAAAGATTCTCCTGAGAGAGAAGCGTCAAAGCCCATCCTGGATTGATATTAGTATTGACGTGACTGAAAACAAATTAAATAAGGGACCATCCACAGCAATATCTGTAAAACATTTGAGTATGAAACAAGGGGCGCGGTGAATGTACGTACCTTGTGTTGCCGAAAAGAGTACCAGTGACGTGAATACAAAAGTGAGTTCATGGATATTATCCGCAGGCTGAATGTACGTCGGGATGAACGATTGAAAGTCTAGCAGTTGTGACGTACATTTTCCATCAATCTCCCGACGTTCGATGCTATGTAGAGCATCAAGGAGCCGATTATGAGTTGCATAGGAATTATCCATGATTTTCGACGACCAATGGAAGGATGAAATGTTGAATCAACGATAGGAGACCATAATAGCTTGAGCGAATATGGGTAGCTAGATAATGCGAACACGCCAAGTTGTGAATATGATAGATGTTCTCGGAGAATGAACGGGACAGAACCTAAGAAAGGTCAGAGAGTGAGCAGAAAAAAGAAGTGTATCATACCAAGGGCAAGGCCGAGCTGTTCATGGAATAGTGAGCATCTCACTCGGCGCGACATCCGAGGAAGATAAACAACTTACAGGAACTCCTTGGATTAAATCTGATAGGATTATAAGGTCATGTCAACTGGATTGAAAGCTCGGAGATATGAAAGTGACCGACAAAGAATGATCAAGAGGGTCATTGCCTTTTTGTCTCTAGAAGACATAGCAGTTGTTTTCGCTCCACCTGCAGAAGAACGCGCGTCACCATCTTGGAGGTTTCGCCCAGCACTTATCCGCTCCTCTTCGGACAACAAACTGAGCTCGACATCTTCGAGGTTTGAAGGTGATCCCATAGGCACGCGAGGCAGTATTCGAATTCCGTCCAAGGAGGAAGAGATGGCTTTTTTGTGAAAAGGCGGTAGTGGAGACATGTCAATTTGGCTGGTATAGTCCCGGGCCTCCACGACGACGTTAGCGTTGCTGGACCTGTGGCGCAAGCTATGAGGATCTTTTGAAGGAGATTTATTCCGGGTGGCAGACATGCGAAACAAATTCGACCCTTGGTTGACCGTATTCACTCGACGTGGGTGATCTGCTCGTAACAAGCTGCGAGGAAGTGACACGATCGCGTTAGGCTCGACACCGGGTCAATTACCAAATTTGGTATGTTTCCATAATTTGTGGCAGCTGATGAGTCCGTCAAACACGTTTAGCTCGTAGTCAGGTTCATCAAAGTAGAAATCATTTTTATGTTCTCCTACGTTCCTACTCGACCACGCAGCTTTGATGTTTCCGGTGGAACTCATGTCTTTTTAGTTCTCGCCACAGCGACTCAACGACAGAACGCATCCTGCCACTGCCCTAGCTCGAGTCACCCCCGCTCTACCCTCCCCTGCTACACGGCCCGGTGTCTTTCACGTGTCCTTTGGTTTTCTGATCTTCCATGACTGATCTACCTGCACGATGTTCGCGCTTTCGCTTAGGTTTCCACCGCACATCAGTTATAAAACATGATGATACACTCGTAAAAAGTAAAGGGCATGATCGATAGGAAGACGCCTGTGTAGGGCATCCATACTACTAATAGTGATCAATCAACGATCATTAATACTGATGCAGATAATTCGTTATAGTTCCGAATTCTGTCGCGGTTTCAGCTAGAAGGTACTCCAGAATCACTGCCGTAAGGCGCCCGGTCTGAAGTTCTGCAGTGAAACTGACTTATGAATTATCAGATCTCACGACTGCTTTGTACCCTCCAAGTCGGTCAAGCAACTTAGCAAGGCATATACTCGATGCGATATAATGTAGCACTGCCCAGTCCGTTGCTAACATGACACACACGAGGCAGTTGTTCTGTTTGCAGATAGATCCAAAACGCAAACTCGCCCTATCTTCTTCGCGTCCAACCCATCATTCCACATTAGGATCAAGTGCGATTCAGCAGACTCGCGGATGGGTACTGCTGCGAGCCAGTGACTGAGCCCATTATGGTGCCTTTTCAATCATGTCTCGATTGAATTCATCATTGCCTTCTTCAGAGTTCTCTGTCAGTTCATGCAATGTCCAGGATTTAGATTCAAGTCATCGAATCAGGCAAAGCGTCAATCAGGAGCAAGGACTTGCCATCTATGACTGATCAGATTTTCTTACATCGCTGAAAGCCTTGATGCAATCATAACGCCACGGCGAACATCATAATCCGATCGATCTAAAATGTTTGCCAAAAACATTACGCGAATTGGATGTACCAGGACGCATAAAAAGGTGCTCCTGATTGCATCCTCAATCGTGCCACTGATAACAAACGACACATCTCGCTCCAAGCCTCTTCCAACCGGTTGCGTATTCCATGTTGTACATCTACCATTTCTCCATTGCGTTCGCTTTCGTATACATATTACGTTTCTTTCAACAGCGGTTCTCGTCTCTGTTCGCCCTGCGCCATGTTCCGGGCCCGAAGTCTTCCTCCTGGGTATGGGGCGAAGAAAAGGTGTTGTATTACAACACACCTGGTGCCTTATATCTGGACTGGCACCGCACATACGGCAATGTTGTGAAATTTACAGGAGCGTTTGGCGTAAGGGCGTTCTGTTCGAACTTTGTTGCCTCGCTCACTACTCTCATCACTCATCAGCATCAGCTCCTTTCCGTCACGGATCCGCACGCAATATCGTTTATTTTGGGAGAGGGCGCATACCAGTTTCCCAAACCAAAAGGCGTGCGTGCCTGGTTTCGTATGCTGCTCGGAGAGGGTATTCTCTGGGTGGAAGGTAGTCATTCAATACAAATCTTAATCCACTCACTGATGTGTGTGGTAAGGCAAAGAAGCTCACGAGAAGCAACGGCGTAGCGTCGGCCCAGCATTAAGGTAATAAGCGCACATTATCTCGGTGGTAACTCTACGTTGACGTAGCTTCAGTGTGCAGTCTGCACGGAACTTGACTCCAGTATTCTACGAAAACGCTGCCAAAGTAAGCTGCATATATCGTGTTGGATACTTCTCTAATTTCTTTCAGATGGTGTCCCAGTGGCACAAGCTTTTTGATGCCCAGCATAGCGACGAAATTGTGATTGAGATCACTAACTGGGCTGGACGCTTTGCGTACGTATTGCCCGCAAGTGTTTCGTGTGCCCTCATTTCAATTCTATGCAGGTTGGATACAGTTGGACGAGCAACGTTATCGTACGACTTTGACTGCCTTCGAGGCCAGCCACACGCTCTCGCGGAAACCCTAGACGGCTTGACGAATCACGAAAAATCGCTTACCTCATTTTACATGAAAGCTCTTTTTTGGTTATTACCATCCATCTTGCATCTCGGCAAGAAAGGGCAGATGATCAGAAAAACCCGAAAAGAGCTTGGGGATCTGGCTACA